AAAAACCTGTAGGATTCTATTTACATAAAACTCTAGAAAATGAAAACTCTAACGATGGAAAGCAGGTCAGAGTTTGTCTGAGAACGGGAGTGGAGGTAAGAAACAGCACGAGGAAGCTGTGGAGGGTGACAGGATGTCCAGTGGCTGGTGGTCGTGACAGTTGCATGGGTGTATACGTTATGTCAGAACTTATTAATAACACAATCAATAGGTGCAGTTTATTGTATGTCAATTATACACGAATAAAGCTGGAAAAAATAAAAAGAAATCGTCCCACAGTAACAAGGACAAAGAGAAACAAAATGCAAACGTCATCTTTTTTTTTGTTTTTGAGGCAGAGTCTCGCTGTGCCGCCAGGCTGGAGTGCAGTGGCGCGATCTCGGCTCACTGCAACCTCTGCCTCCCGGGTTCAAGCAATTGTCCTGCCTCAGCCTCCCCAGTAGCTGCAATTACAGGCATGCACCACCACACCCAGCTAATTTTTGTGTTTTTAGTAGAGACGGGGTTTCACCATGTTGGCTAGACTGCTCTCGAACTCCTGGGCTAAAGCAATCCACCTGCCTTGTCCTCTGAAAGTGCTGGGATTACAGGCATGAGCCACCACACCTGGCTAAACTCCATTTCCAGTGAAAACAGAAGAGAGATGAAACCCAAACTAGAAACGAGTCAGAGGGTTGCCCAGGGCAGGAAACACCATACAGATGTTTGGGAAGAAGCTGTGAGAAGGGATCACACTGCCCACCAACCAATGTCCCTTATCTGCACAAGCAGGAGTGGGGCCCGTGATCTCATGACAGCGGCATTTGAGATACAGGTAAGCTTGGAACCAAGAAGCAGAAGCAGCGGATCAGACACAGACAATCACACAGACAAGCCACACTTGCAGGCAACAAAGAGGAATCACCAGACTGCCCGTGAGCAGCCCTGCAACTGCACATGGCACTGGATGTAGGGAAAGTCCTCGCTGCTTCTCCCACACAAACCTCTGGCAAATAGACGGTTGAAGAAACACTCACCTTGCCCAAAGATGAAAAACAAAAAAGCAAAGAGCGCAGCATCTACAGGAAGACACTGTAAGAATTAAAAAATAAAAACGAGAAAAGGAACAGGAAAAACAAGTGGCAAGTGAAAGCTCACGAGTAAAAACGTTGCCATAGAACAGATAAAATTGCCAGCAAACTTTTCGCTGTAAATTAAACAACAACAAAAATTAATAAAGCAGGGCTGGGCGCGGTGGCTCACACCTGTAATCCCAGTACGTTGGGAGGCTGAAGCGGGCGGATCATCTGAGGTCAGGAGTTCGAGACCAGCCTGACCAACATGGCAAAACATCATCTCTACTAAAAATACCAAAATTAGCCAGGCATGGTGGCGCAAGCCTATAATCCCAGCTACTTGGGAGGCTGAGGCAGGAAAATCGCTTGATCCCAGGAGGCGGGGTTCCAGTGATCTTAGATCCCACCACTGTACTCCAGCCCAAGCAATAGAGCAAGACTCCATCTCAAAAAAAAAAAAAAAAAAAAAAAACAAGAAATTAATACAGCAATCATCTCCAGAAAGCAAGCACACAAAACAGATATGAGAGCTCAGGGGGAACATGAAACCGGAGCTGACAGAACTGGAGAAAGAAGGAAAAACATCACATCTTCAAAGTCATGACAAAATGAAAAGCTGTGCAGAGGAGCATCAAATATTGCTCAAAACACAATCAAGACACTGAGAACAAGACTGAGGAAAGTGAGCAAAAGGAAATGAAAATGGACGGTGTAAAGAGATTACAGAGAAAATTACAGATTTGGAAGATCTGCAAAGGACCCATCATATATCCCAGAATAGAAAACTGAAATAAGGGAACATAAATATTTAAAGATATCATTCAAGAAAATTTTCCTGAAATAAAAGAAGATAAATCTACAAACCAAAAGGGCACACCATGTCTTCCGGAAAATGACAAAAATCTGTCAATAACAAGGTAATTTCTATGAAACTAACTAGACATAAAATATAAAAGAAAGGGGGAAGAAGCTAACTAGAAAAGACTTTGGACAGTCAAGTGAAAATATCAATTCATAAAGGGTAACAAAATAGAAGTTAGACTCAGACTTTCCCACAATGACATTTGACTCTAGAGACAGAAGTGATGCCTGCGAAGTTCTCAAGGAAAGAAAGTGTGGTCTAAGAATTTTATGTCCCGGAAAGCTGTCAAACACAAAGACTAGAAACCTTTTTGAACTTGCAATAACTCAATAATTTTTTTTCATTTAGTCCCTTTTGATGAAACTACTGGAGAAAGAATTTCAGCAAATCAAGAGAAAAATAGGAAAACTTCAGCAAGGGAACTGACAGTGAGCAGTGACTCTACCTATAGGGCCAATGTGAGTGAGGATTAAGGACATATATAAATATAAATTCTGAAATTAGAAATAATACATTAAACAAAAATTGAGAAGAAAAGAAAGAAAGAAGGAGAGAGTTGTTAGTATCTGATTTCTTTTTTTTTTTTGAGTCAGAGTCTCACTCTATTGCCCAGGCTGGAGTGCAGTGGCACGATCTTGGCTCACAGCAACCTCCACCTCCCGGGTTCAAGTGATTCTCATGCCTTAGCCTCCGTGGTAGCTGAGCATACAGGCGCCCACCATCACGCCTGGCTAACTTTGTATTTTTAGTAGAGACGGGTTTTCACCATGTTGGCCAGACTGGTCTCGAACTCCTGACCTCAAGTGATCCACCCGCCTCAGCCTCCCAAAGTGCTGGGATTACAGGCGGGAACCACCAGGCCCGGTCTAAGTCTCTGATTTCTTTATCTTTCTAATGGGGGAGGGGGCAAGAATAAGAAAAAGGTAGCATAGAGATATAAGTATATTTTAAAGACAAACACTAAGAAATACAATGTAAAATTAGATGGCAAAAAAGGAGAAGGGGTAAGAGAAAACACACACTTTTCATAAGTGCTTTTAGTAGGAAACATACTGTTGAAAAAGGAATTCAAGGCGAGTGCAAAGGCTCACACCTGTAGTCTCAGCACTTTGGAAGGCCAAGGTGGGTGGATAGTTTAAGCCCAGGAGTTTGAGAAACTTACCTCTAGCCGGGCGTGGTAGCTCACGCCTGTAATCCCAGCACTTTGGAAGGTTGAGGTGGGCAGATTTGCTTGTTGCCTGGGCAACAGGGCGAAACCCATCTCTAGAAAAAAACACAAAAATGAGCTGGGTGTGGTGGTGTATGCCTGTAATTCCTGCTACTCAGATGAGGTGGAAGGATCACTTGAGCCCAGGTTGAGGCTGCAGTGAGCTATGACTGTGCCACTGTACTCCTGCCTGGGCAACAGAATGAGATTTTGTCTCAAAAACAAAACAAAACAAAAAACCCTTATCTTTAAATAAAGAAACTAAGCTGGGCGCGGTGGCTCACGCTTATAATCCCAGCACTTTGGGAGGCTGAGGTGGACAGATCACAAGGTCAAGAGATCAAGACCATCCTGGTCAACATAGTGAAACCTCGTGTCTACAAAAAATACAAAAATTAGCTGGGCGTGGTGGTGCACATCTGTAGTCCCAGTTACTCAGGAGGTGGAGGCAGGAGAATCGCTTGAACCCAGGAGGCAGAGGTTGCAGTGAGCCAAGATCACGCCACTGCACTCCAGCCTGTCGACAGAGCAAGACTCCATCTCGAAAAAATAAGTAAGTAAAAATAAATAAAGAAACTAAATTATACATCTAAAACAGGAAGTTAGAAAAGAAACAAACCTTTAAAAAGTAGATAGAATACACAAAAAGTGAAAATTAATGGATTAGAAAATGAACATGCAGGCATTTCCTCCCTACCTGTGTACACTTTCCAGTTTCCCCATGCTCAAAACGGGGGCAAGGCTGGGGGTCGCTGTCCCTGCACTGCCCTCTCCTCTCCCTACCCTTCCCGGGGCTTACCAGGCACCCCCTCAAGGCCTGATCCATCCCCAACACATCTCAGCTCTCCTGCGCCCCTCCAAGCATGGCCCACCTGCGCGGCAGGGGCAGAGGGAGGAGCACACACTGGGGGGAGGGGCAGAGAGGACACTCAGCATTGCCCAGTGCAAGGGGGCTGGCAGCCCCCAGAAGACAACCTGTCCATGCAACGGCTGAATGGATGGACCAGCAGGTGGCAGGTGGGGACAGAGGGCAGACACAGGGCCACTCATACCCCTCCCCTATTCCCCAGAGCAGAGGTGCCCCACCCTAGCTGCACGTGAGAATTACCAGGGAGCTTGAAAAATGCCAGATCTCTAAGTCCCTTTCCCATACACTGATTGAATCAGTTCATGTCTCTCCACGTTGGTCATCTGGTTCCAAAAAGCAAGGTGCACTGGGGAAAGAGGCAGCCCAGGGCATGGAAAAGAGAGGGGGCTCTGGAGCCACCGTTTGGAGTTGGAGCCCTGTCTCTGCCTCTCGCTGGCTGTGTGATCTCAGGCTGGCACCTTAACCTCCCTGAGCCTCAAGGTCGCCATCCATAAGATATGCTTCCCTCCCAGAAGGGGCTAGGGATGGGTGATTGTACATGTAAACGCTTCCGCTGGTGCAGGGTGCCCAGGAGGAGTGTGAGAAGGAGGGCTGTCATGGTTCCCCTGAGGCCACCTCTGACTCCTGGCAGGTAGGCTAGGCTCCAGGACCACCTGCCCCCTCTGGGGAGTTCAGATGTGAGCGAGACCCAGGGCGGTGGGGGCAGCCTTGGATCCACAGACCCAGCTTCGGAGGCTATTCTGGTTCCAATTCAGAATCCCTGGCTCCTAACTCAATGGGCTTTGTCCCAGAGATGTAATTTCTATTTTGATTCCATGTGACATTTAATGAAATGGCTTTCAGACACCACACAGTGACTGAGTTATGAAACCACAGCTTCTGCATCCTCAACACGCCTCACGATGACAGGACCCCTCTTGTTGCTTCGGAAGCTGCCCCAAGTCTCTTGAGGCCTGGGGCCCAGGACCACTGAGGTGGGGTCTTCACTACGAAGTCCCTGGGGTCTGCCCCAGGCCCACTGTCTGGCACCCGCGTCTTGTCCTAGCTGGACTCACAGCAGCCTCTGCCTGGGTTCCCGCCTCAGTCTCCCTCTTGCCAATCCAGTGCTGTTCTAACTGCAGATCAAAAATATTCAGGGAGACAGGAAGCCAATGTAGAGGATTGCAAACAGCATTGTTCGAAGAACAAATGAGCCGGAATAGAAGCAGAACAGAACACGCCAGAACGAGCTGCACATGGCAAGGGCGACTGCAGCTCACAAGCCTGGGCTGTGAGTGTGCACACTGGGTCTCTATGTACGGGAATTTGAGGAAGTTTGAATGACATGGCTCTAACCCACCACCGTGCCACTCCCCAGTTACAACTTTCGGGATGGACTTCAGACCCCTCAGTATGGCACTAAAAAACCCCTCCATACCTGGCCCCTTCCTGCCCACCCACCTGGTCCACAGCCAACTCCAACCACACTGAGCCACTGGGTTCTGCAAACTCTGCCAGCAGCTCCCATACCCGCCCAGAATGCAAGAGCCTCCCTCCTCTCTCCAGGCCTCCTTCCCTCCCTCCCTCCCCTCCAACAGCTTCCACTCTCCCACACACTCCTACCGATCCTTCACCCTTCAAGGGAAGGGCCACCTCCTCTTTGGTGTCTCCCTGATTCCCCAGCAGCCTTGGGGGCTCCCGGTCCAGTGCTCATGCTACATGGTGCACACTTTGCATAACACGGTCACCCCCGCCAGCCGGTGGGCTCATTGTTTTCATGCCTCCCCGCCCTTCCCCCAGTGGGCAGCTGGGACTTCCCTCGAAGGGCTGGCTGAGCCCCTTGGTGCTCAATGTCGTACCATGTACTGACAGCAAGTGCAGGCTGACACGGGGGCCTCTCCCAGGTGACCCTCTCCACATGCGGGACCTCTTCCAAGTGACCCTCTCCACATGCTGACCCTCCCTGGGTGAAGATGACCTCCTAGATTCTATAGAAGCAAAGATATAAATATTTCTAGAGCCCTTCCGTTCAAAAGGAAGTAGAAGCCCTACAATTTCTCAACAACTTGGCTATTAAAAATAGGAACTCCACCTACATGCCAGAACAGTTTGTTGGCGTGGAAGGGCCAGAATCGTGAGGTCACACATGTGTTCGGGACTGAGAAAGCTGCTGGGTCCAAAAGCTGAGCACTGTAAGAAGGCAGGCAGCTGTCTGCAGCTGGTGCTACAGCCCTGAGGCCCCAGAAATCTCTAGAACCACAGGGATGCCAAATGGTACTCTGCCAAGAGTTTTATAAAACTCACTTCCCCACCACATCATGTGAACATCTGCACAGCACAGGTTCCAAAGGAAATTGAAAAAGAAATAAATCGTGCATTAGCAAGCAGATCTGAGACCTCGTCTCTGACCTTGGAAGAGTGTGAGGAGATGCCTCAGACTCCGGCTCCTGCTGCCGCCTCCTCCCACTCCCAGTCCTCAGAACAGAGCCCCAGACCCGGCCCTGAGCTGGGGTCCCCTAAGGATTCAGTCTTCCGCGTTCATTTCCTGGCCCTCAACGCCTGAAGCTCCATCCTTCCGCCACTCCTTTGGGTTACAGGAGAATCCCCAACAGGCACTCTGCATGAACAGTGACGGCAAAGCGGACATGCATTCTGTCAGCATCCACAGTCACTCCAGAGACAGCCTGGGTGGAGACGGGGGAGGAGGAAGAAGGGGAAGAAAGTGGGCAGAAGGGCCAAGCGCGATGACTCACGCCTGTAATCCCAGCACTTTGGAAGGCCGAGGCAGGCGGATCACAAAGTCAAGAGATCAAGACCATCCTGGCCAATATGGTGAAACCCTTTTTCTACTGAAAATACAAACATTAGCTGAGCATGGTGGTGCACACGTGTAGTCCCAGCTACTCGAGAGGCTGAGGCAAGAGAATTGTTTGAACCCAGGAGGTGGAGGTTGCAGTGAGTCAAGATGGCGCCTGGCAACAGAGTGAGACTCCATCTCAAAAAAAAAAAAAGGCCGGGAGTGGTGGCTCACGCCTGTAATCCCAGCACTTTGGGAGGTCGAGGGGGGCGGATCACGAGGTCAGGAGATTGAGACCATCCTGGCTAACACGGTGAAACCCCGTCTCTACTAAAAATACAAAAAATTAGCTGGGCATGGTGGCGGGCACCTGTAGTCCCAGCTACTCGGGAAGCTGAAGCAGGAGAATGGTGTGAACCCGGGAGGCGGAGCTTGCAGTGAGCCGAGATCACCCCACTGCACTCCAGCCTGGGCGACAGAGCGAGACTCTGTCTCAAAACAAACAAAAAAAGGAAGCTCAGACTCAGGCAGGTTCAAGGCAGAGGTGAGTGGGGAGCCTACAGGCACCTGGGCTCAGGCAGGGCCGAGAGCTGCGGTGAGGGGAGAGGCTTATGCAACACAGCCACATTGTCTGAGGTGCTGCCCATTCCAGATGCTATGTGTGCAAAGGACTGGGGGAGGGTGAAGGTGGGGTGGGGGGTCTGGCCATGGTGGGGGCCTGAGCCCTGGAGGAATATGGCTGTGCTGAGGACTGGAATGGGAGGGGGATCACAGGACCGTGCTGTCTGGGCCATGGGACGAGGGACATGGGAGGGCGAAGGCTCCCCCGCCTGACCACACATAGAACGGCAGAGGCTGGCAGTGCCTGGATTTCTGACCTGGCAGGGGTGCGTGGGGGCACTGTTCACTGGGCTGGGGAACAGCAGGTGACAGGCCCCCCAAACCACCTCCACAGCGGCCCCTCTTCCCCCACCGTGCGAGTTGCCATCATTTCTCACCTGAAAGCTGCGACTGCCTCTCGCTGCCACTGGCGAACCCCGAGTAACAGCTGACAAGCAGGAGCAGGGGTTTCCCTTTCAAGATGTACGGCTGGTCAGACCTTCCCGAGCTTCTCATCCCCTTAAAAATGAAATCCAGACTCTTCACCTGGGTCTGCAGACCTGCCATGTACACACCCCACCCCACTGACCCGGTTCCATCTCCCACCCCTCACTCTGCTCTGACCGGTCACAGACGTGCCTGCCGCAGGGCCTTTGCGCTTGCTCACCCTCCGCCTGAAACACGCTTTCCTCCCCTAACCACGTGGTCGATCCCCACATCCTCTGGTTCCTCTCGTCTCCCCACATGAAAGAGCACAGGGGACAGCCCACCCCTTCCTCCCTGCTTTCCTTGTCTTCAGAGCTTGTCACCGTCTGACTTACTGCACACTGGGTAGGTGATTGGTCTCCGTCTCCCCCACTGGCATGCTGTCTCCCCGAGGGCCCGGACTCATCTGCGTTGCACTTCACGGTCTCCCAGCACCTGCGGCAGTGCATACAGGAGAGCTCAGTCACTGCATGCTGGAGCAAGCGCCTCCCAGCCCTGGCCCCAGGGCCATCACCACCTCCTGGTCCTGTTTCCCGTGCTTGGAACAGAATCCCACCCTCACCTGCTCTTTCCTTCCCAAGAACAGGTCGAGGTCTCTCGCCCTCCTTCCGGCCTCCCTCCTTCCCAGACCTAATCACACCCTCTCCTCCGTGTGATCCTGGAATTCTTAAGCACACGCACTCTTGACTCCAAGACCAAACACCAGGCCTCCTCCATTCCAGCACAACCACAGATAATAGCCACTGTCCACCACCATGTGCCCAGGCCTCTGCTGACAGTGACCGAGGATGCAGAAGCAGAAGATGCACGCCCACGAGCACTGGCAGTCTCCCTGGAGAGGGCACACTCAACATGGGGACAGCATCTTAGCACAGCACGAGATGCGTGTCAGTGAGCGTAGCTAGGTGGCACCAACTTCCTGAAGCTCAGAGTGAGACACAGGGCTGGGGGGGAGGGATGGAGGGAAGATGGGATGGGAGGTGCCAGTTTTGCCACCCGCAGACTTAACCCGAGTCCCAGAGCATACAACTGGTTAACAGCAGAGCTGGGCCTGGCTGGATCCATTGGGTTCCACACCAGAGGTTTCTGAACTCAGAATGGCCCCCATTGGTCGAACCCTTTGGACAGAAGCAACTGACTCCCACTTCTCCACGAAATCCCAAGCTCCTGAGCAACTTTCAGAGGCTACAGCACAATAGTGAGAAGACACGCAACTCACATGGGCCCTGCACATGACAGCAACATGGGCGAGACGCAGCCCCAGCCGCCAGCTCACAGGAGCGAGGGCCGCCAGCCTCCACATGCCCGAGGCACCTCCTCCTAACCCTGGTCCAGAGCTCGGGGTCCCTCTCCCTAAAGCCCGCCTGAGACCCGGAACGGCCTTCTGCCTGGGTAGCTGCTTCCCCTGGTGGCTGCGAGTGATCAACACTTATTATAAGAACATTACAGGAAAATTTAAACAGAAAAATAGAATAGAAAGAAAAACTGCTCTTACTCCCAACCCGCCCCCTAAGATACCTGTTCATTTCTCCACGTGGGACACCTTCTTCTCTATCCATACGTACACATTTTTATGACAGCATAACCACAGTGTACCATAATTTTACGTTGTGCTATTTTACCGTTTTCCTATAAACAGCTTTCCTTGTGTTTAAATGTGATCTGAGTATTTCTCATCTAGAGTGACTGGTTAGCACTCCATTAATAACCGGCTCTCTGAGAGGGCACCCCGCTCGCTCAGCCACCACCAATGCCATCCACTACTTTCCCATCAGCTCCACTATGGAGCCCTCAGGAACAAGGTCAGGCCTTACTCAGAGCTCAAGTATTTTCTGTAAAGACAGAGATAGAAAATACAGACCGCAGCAGCTATTCTAGTCTCTTATCCATGGCGAAGGCAGCCACAGACCATACGTAAACAAACAAGTGTGGCTGCGCCCCAACGAAGCTATTTATGGGCTTTGAAATTTGAATTTCATAGAATCTTCATGCAACACGAAATGTTCTTTTGATTTTTTTTTTTCTTTTTCTTTTTTTTTTTTTTAAGAGACAGAGTCTCGCTCTGTCGCCCAGGCTGGAGTGCAGTGGCGCAGTCTCAGCTCACTGCAAGCTCCACCTCCTGGGTTCACGCCATTCTGCCTCAGCCTCCCGAGTAGCTGGGACTACAGGCACCCACCACCACGCCCAGCTAATTTTTGTATTTTTAGTAGAGATGGGGTTTCACCGTGTTAGCCAGGACGGTCTCGATCTCCTGACCTCATGATCCGCCCACCTCAGCTTCCCAAAGTGCTGGGATTACAGGCTTGAGCCACCGCACCTGGCCATTCTTTTGATTTTTAAAACACATTCCTAGCTCCTGGTATATACAAAACCAGGCAGCGAACCAGATCCAACCCACAGGCTGTTTCCTGACCCCTGCTCCATTAACATTGGAGGATTCAGGGGTGGAGGAAGGAAAGTCCTAGAAAGGAGTGAAGGAAGAGGGTGGAAGCTGAGGAAGCAAAGGAAGGCCCAACAGACCACTCTCTGTGTTCCAGAAAGTTCTAGGACTTGCTTCCAATTCCCACGGGGCCTGGGACACTCCAGCTCTCTGAAACTCCCTGAACAGAGCAAAACCGAAGGCTGAGACCATAGAGATGGCTCAGCACCTCATTTTCCTGATGGAGGGGAAGGGTCACCAAGACAGATGGGGGAAGAACAGACTCCAAATTCACTAACTATCCCCTCATGTGCCCCCACCAAGGTAGTGATCCCAGCCTTTGACACCCCCACTTCTAGTCAGCTTGTCACCAGCTCACAGTGGCAAAAGTCCCCTTCCAGACAATGCCCCGCAAATCTCTTTTTAATGCCAAGTGGCCTAAAATGCCAGAAAAGATCCTTTTGAAATGTAAATCAAACTTCTCTCTGCGAGGCAGACCCATCCTCTGCTGCCCCTGGCATTCTAAATGATCTCTTAGAAATAAGACCCAGTGCCTTTGCCAATAATAACTTCTACTTTAGAAGTGCCAGATCAAACCCAGAGAAAGTGGCTCAGTGGCTGCCCAGGGCTGAGGCAGTAGATGGGAGACAGGGAATGACTAAAGGACACAAGCTCTCTTTTTGGGGTGGGCAAGATGCTCAACTGTGGCGATGACTGCCCATACCTGTGAATATACAGACCCCTGAACCATACCCTTTATTTTTTTTGAATCAGAGTCTCGCTCTGTCACCCAGGCTGGAGTGCAATGGCACAATCTCTACTCATTACAACTGCCGCCTCCCGGGTTCAGGCAATTCTCCTGCCTCAGTCTCCCAAGTAGCTGGGATTACAGGTGCCCACCACCACGTCCGGCTAATTTTCGTATTCTTAGTAGAGACAGGGTTTCACCATATTGGCCAGGCTGGTCTCAAATTCCTGATCTCAAACGATCCGCCCACCTTGGCCTCCCAAAGTGTTGGGATTATAGGCATGAGCCACCACACCTGGCCAAGAGCCATACTGTTTAGATGGGCAAACCGAATGGTATATGAAAAAGTTGCTTATGAAAGCATGCCAGGCACTTCACTCATCTAAAATCTCACAAGCCTGTTGAACCTGGATTACAAATCCTAGTTCACGATGTGGAAACTGAGGCTAGGAGCAGTGATGTAACGTCCCCAACTGTTTCATAGCAGTGAGACTGGCTCCAAGGGCAGTCAATTTTTCAAAAGGGAGGTGACAGGTGGAGTGGCCTGTAATCCCAATATTTTGGGAGGCCGATACAGGCAGATCACTTGAGGTCAGGAGTTCGAGACCAGCCCAGCCAACATGGTGAAACCCTGTCTCTACTAAAAATACAAAATTAACCAGGCGTGGTGGCACATGCCTGTCATCCCAGCTACTCAGGAGGCTGAGGCAGGAGAATCACTTGAACCTGGGAGGCAGAGGTTGCGGAGAGCTGAGGTTGCGCCATTGCACTCCAGCCTGGTCAACAAAGGCGAAACTCCATCTCAAAAAAAAAAAAAAAATTAGCCGGGTGTGGTGGCAGGAGTCTGTAACCCCAGCTGCTCAGGAGGCTGAGGCATGAGAATCACTTGAACCTGGGAGGCAGAGGTTGCAGTGAGCCGAGATCACGTCACTGCACTCCAACCTGGGCGTAACAGCAAGACTCCATCTCAAAAACAAAACAAAACAAAGAGGGAGGTGATGGTTCCTAAAGTCAGCCCTTTGCTGCAATGGCCCCTGCACTAACAGGACCTGGAAGTGCCCTTCAGTACCACTGGGACCCACATCAGTCCAGGGGAAGGCCAGAGCAGCTGCAGGACCTATTCCCAGCCTTCCAAAGCAAATCCCATCTCGTCCTGGCAGCCCTTCTGGAGGAGAGGCTGGACCCCCTGAAGTAGAGGAGAGGGAAGACTCGGGCTCAGGGAAAACCTCACCCAGGCAGCTGCTGCCCCAGGGCTTTCTGGAAAGTGAGACCTCCCTGTTTTCCACCTCCAAGGGAAGCTACTGCTTCCCACTCACCCCATTCCTAAGCATGGGGCTCCATTTGGGCATGAGTACCTGTCCCTGGACTTGCCTTTGTGGCCATAAGCTACCTTTCTAGCATGGCACCCAGAGCGTCCCAGGTAGAAGCAAACTGAAAGTGGCCCTCACTCGTGATGCACAGACAGTAAGAGAGCCCCTAGTCCCATCTGGACAGGATCCCCACAGCCACGGTGACAAGGGGCAAAGCAGAGCTCACCCTCCCCCACTACCAGTGCAATGACCAGGGAGGAAGGGCAGGATGAGGGTAGGCATGACCAAACCCTTCCACGTGGCTCACTGGCCAGCTGGTGGTTTCAGGAGCCATTCCTTGGGCAGACCAGCATGGGGCTGGCAGGTGCCTGCTCTCCCATCAAGAGGGGCACATGCAGTGAGGGGACGAATGTAGACAGGTTCGAGTTCGGGTCAACCACTGGTTTTTGTGCAGGCCAGTCCTCTGTGAGGCACATGGCCTCCCTGAGCCTCCCGGCCATATCTGTAAAATGGGGGCGGTCATCTCTGCCCCATGGTGGCTGTGCAGACCAACTGAATTCTGTTGGGGTGGAACTGACTGCATGTGGCAGGAAAATCAACATTATCCTATCAGGAATGTATTGACTGATTTCTGTGAAACATCTGGGATGTGGACTTCAGGATTTGCTAGACTCAGAAAATGAATGTCATGAGGCTTCAGGTCTACCCTCATGGGTTCAACAGCCCCAAACCCCTGGCCTCTCTTCTATGCCCCCCACCCCCAGAGTAAAAGCCTTAAAGTGTGGCTCATGGGGTTCTGGTTGTACGGAGACTAGAATCCCAGGGGCTATGGCCAGGGAATTTGTTTTTAAGAGTGGGTCTTGGCCGGGCGCGGTGGCTCAAGCCTGTAATCCCAGCACTTTGGGAGGCCGAGACGGGTGGATCACGAGGTCAGGAGATCGAGACCATCCTGGCTAACACGGTGAAACCCCGTCTCTACTAAAAAATACAAAAAACTAGCCGGGCGAGGCGGCGGGCGCCTGTAGTCCCAGCTACTCGGGAGGCTGAGGCAGGAGAATGGCGTAAACCCGGGGGGCGGAGCTTGCAGTGAGCTGAGATCTGGCCACTGCACTCCAGCCCGGGCGACAGAGCCAGACTCCGTCTCAAAAAAAAAAAAAAAAAAAAAAAAAAAAAAAAAAAAGAGTGGGTCTTGCTCTGTTGCCCAGGCTAGAGTGCAGTGGTGCAAGCATGGCTCACTGCAGCCTCTGCCTCCTGGGTTCCAGTGATCCTCCTGCCTCAGCCTCTTAAGTAGCTGGGACTTACAGATGCATGTCACCACACATGGCTATTTTTTTTTTTTTTTTTTTTTTTGAGGTGGAGTCTCGCTCTGTCGCCCAGGCTGCAGTGCAGTGGCGCGATTTCGGCTCACTGCAAGCTCCGCCTCCTGGGTTCACGCCATTCTCCTGCCTCAGCCTCCCGAGTAGCTGGGACTACAGACCCCCACCACCACGCCTGACTGATTTTTTTGTATTTTTAGGAGACGGGGTTTCACCGTGTTAACCAGGATGGTCTCGATCTCCTGACCTCGTGATCCACCCGTCTCGGCCTCCCAAAGTGCTAGGATTATAGGCGTGAGCCACCATGCCTGGCCCATATGGCTAATTTTTAAAAATTTCTCTATAGAGATAGGGTCTCCTTATGTTGCCTAGGCTGGTCTTGAAATCCTAGCCTCAAGCAAGGGATTCCCGCCTTGGCCTCCCAGTGTTGACATTACAGGCACTAGCCACCACACCCAGCTACCCACACCTCTGATAAAGGGCAACAGGGAGTCAAGCAGTGGCCTCTAGGCAAGAGCGTGCCTTTTCAAGGCCACATCCACACCCAACAAAGATTCCATCTTGCCAAAGCTTGGAAGGACAGCACCCTACATGGCGGAGGCCTACCCACACCCAGGAAGGCTCAGCCTGCCCCAGACTAGGAGGCCCCAGCATCTCCATCGCAGCATGTGCTGCAAACCTGTCTTGTCTTTTCACCTGGTATCATCTGGGCCTCAACCCCTCTGCCCTTTGCTGAGATGCCAGTGTGGCCATGTTGCATAATCCAAACCATCCACTTGTGAACAGTCATTTGACCACACCCTACCCCATCCAGGCTTGGCCCAGCCCTGCACTTTGGTGGTGCTGTCTGGACACAGGAAGATGGAACATCTTCTCACATCTGGTAGGAATGTGAGCTCTCAAGCAATTGCCAGTAGAGCCATGAAGATTCTCGGCAATTGGCATAAAAGCAAACCCAGGGACCGTGTGTAGGGCCAGAGGACAATGAATAAAAAACACATGACTAAAGAGAATATGGCAGCACCAAGACAATACCCCGCTTCATCACTCTGAGCCTGAGCCCAGGACTCATCAGTCCCTGGGGAGGCAGGGCTGAGGTCACACCCAAACACTGCAGAGACCATGGTGCTTGGTGCAGTTATTACCATCGTGTGTTCCCAGAGGAACAATTCTTTAAGCCAATAACTTCTATCTCTAAGGGGCTTTTTGCTTTAAAGTCTTTTTCCTATAGTAATTGTTTACTCTTAAGT